GAGGATTGACAGCAAAGAAACAATTGGTTATGGCTTGCCTAATTTGACTCTCGAATCGCAAGGAAGTGTTACCAATCCATGGTAGTTTCAAATAAACTGGGCACTTTTGCGGACCAAACTTTTGAACAGCCGAAAAACTTGCGATCTTCTCCTTAGTATAAGATAAGATTTTATCTTATACTAAGGAGAAGATCGCAAGTTTGTCGGCTGTTCAAAAGTTTGGTCCGCAAAAGTGCCCAGTTTATTTGAAACTACCATGGATTGGTAACACTTCCTTGCGATTCGAGAGTCAAATTAGGCAAGCCATAACCAATTGTTTCTTTGCTGTCAATCCTCGGATTGTTTACAGCACTAGGAGAGCCCTTCCATCCATTCAAAAGGATTGCGTCCCTACCAAACAAAAAAGTTCCGTCATTTATGAATTTACGTGCCAGTGTGATTCTGGCTACGTAGGGCGCACAACCCAAAGATTGGGGGATAGGATAAAACAGCATGTTCCTTCCAACATACGTAACAAAACTGCCCCTCAAAGAGAACAGCCTCCTCGATCTTGTAGGTCTAGAAACACTGTTAAAACAAGTGATTCTGCCATTGGTCAACATCTTTTAGACAACCCAGATTGTGCAAAACTCTATAATGACGACATGTTTCGGATAATTGGCAGAGCCCGGTCGTCCTTCCATCTAGCAGTTTTGGAGTCAATCTACATAAAAACGAAAAAGCCGCCATTGTGTAGACAAAAGGAGTTAGTTTTCTCTCTTGGACTCCATTGGTAATTTTTCTTTAGGCTCGCGGCACTGATTGGTCAACTATACCGGTCTTGTGCTTGCGTTTTTCTGATTGGCCTATTTCGATCCACAACTGGGTATATATTTTTCAAACGTGTCTTTTCGGAACCTATTCTGACGTTTTATGCTCTGAGGAGTGTCAGACGAAAAAGCTTTAAGTATGTTGTAAAATGTTTGCTTTTTTCAAAGCCATTTTAAAAATTGAAAGGCAAAAAAATAAAATCAACGAAGGATTTTAGAGAAACTCTAGAGCAAAGCTCCCTACAGCAACTTTGCAATAAAAATTGAAAGGCAACAAAATAAAAACAACGAAGAATTTTGGAGAAACTCTAAAGCAAAGCTCCCTACAGCAACTTTGCAATAAAAATTGAAAGGCAACAAAATAAAAACAACGAAGGATTTTGGAGAAACTCTAGAGCAAAGCTCCCTAGAGCAACTTTACAATAAAAATTGACAGGCAACAAAATAAAACCAACGAAGGATTTTGGAGAAACTCTGAAGCAAAACTCCTTACAGCAACTTTGCAATAAAAATTGAAAGGCAAAAAAATAAAATCAACGAAGGATTTTAGAGAAACTCTAGA